TTAATAATTCTTAATTTACTAATAATCTATATTAATAATTTTTAAAACTAACCTAGATATTTCCAAGTTAATCCTTATAATTTTTCTGACTGGACGAATGCAAGGAGGGTTTTTGGTTTAAAATAAATAAATTTTTGGAATTTTACCGATCGGTTTCCAAGACTCGTCAGCTTAATTCATAACCTTAAGTAACGTGTTCCGAGTGTAGATAAAATCTCGTATCATTCGAATGACGACGACTGTGATCGGAGACTAGCATCGACCATCGTGTTGCCAAAAATGAAAGTTATTTTTAACCCATTCGTGATTCTTATTTTTACCGTTGAACATGCATCGCAAATATTTTGTATGCGTTCCGAAGCGTCTTTGGAGAGAGCAAATTTCTTTCAAGCAGTGAAAAGAAAACAGCGGAAAGTTGATATTAAAAAAGAAAAGAAAAAAAAATAGAAAGGTGGTTGTTGGAAAAATACGTTTAATCCAGCAACAAAAATTAATCTCGTGTACGAAGCGTGCGTGACTGAACTGGGTTCGAGAGCCAAAAAGGTTCTGACAAGGCACGAAGTGTTTCCCTGACTCTTTTGGCGCCCAGCAACGATATTACATCGGTTTGCACGCGATGGTTTACTATTCCAGTGAACTATGCCTCGAAATAAATTTACAAAACATTACAAATGCTTGAATTCCTTCTCAAAAGCTCTATCTGAAGTGTTTCCTTGACTCCTTTAGTGCCAAACAACGATATTACATCGTTTTGCACGCGATGGTTTACTATTCCAGTGAACTATGCCTCGAAATAAATTTACAAAACATTACAAATGCTTGAATTCCTTCTCAAAAGCCCTGTATAAAGTGTTTCCTTAACTCCTTTAGTGCCAAACAATATTACAGCGATATTACATCGTTTTGCACGCAATGGTTTACTATTCCAGTGAACTCTGCCAGAAAATAAATTTACAAATTTATAAACTTATAAAGTTATAAATGCTCGAATTCCTTCTCAGAAGCCCTATTTGAGGTGTTTCACAGGTTGGAGAAATTGTTTATGGGATTAACTTTCTGTCGTATCTGGCGATGACCGATACTGTGTAGACGCTAGAGAGATAAATGTTACACATTTTCAATAGCCGGATCACCATAAGTGTTTACGATAATACTAGAATAATAGACATTTGTCCAGCATTGAAAGGGTTAATCCTTTGCACTCGACGACTTTTTCGTTACAGAAAAACAGCAATTCGAAGACCTTCTGTCATAGAGTCGAGGATATTTTTAAAATGGTAAATGAGAAATCACATGCAAATTAAGACATAGAATTATTTTCCTTCGACATTCCACACATCGTTAGGTAATTTTAAATTTGATATATTAGTTAACGTCGATCTTTAGAATCTGATTAAATGGCGACTGCGAGTCACCTCTCGAGTGCAAAGGATTAAAAGGGTACTCTTGTAATACGGCCAATGGAAGTCAGCTTTGGGACTTTTCCTAATAAAATTAGACATATTAGGATTTTTCTCAATAAAAATTACAATAGAATCGGTATATACCTTTCTTGACCAATAAAGAATGAGTCACTATATTCGAAAATACGTTATTTTGCGGCGATTATAAAACCGATAATCCGAATAGGGGGAAAAGAGAAAGAAAGGAATACTGGAAGATTTTTTATAATAAAATTAAATATATTGGGATTGTTTTTAATAAAAATCACAATAGAATCGGTATATACCTTTCTTGACCAATAAAGAATGAGTCACTATATTCGAAAATACGTTATTTTGCGGCGATTATAAAACCGATAATCCGAATAGGGGGAAAAGAGAAAGAAAGGAATACTGGAAGATTTTTTATAATAAAATTAAATATATTGGGATTGTTTTTAATAAAAATCACAATAGAATCGGTATATACCTTTCTTGACCAATAAAGAATGAGTCACTATATTCGAAAATACGTTGTTTTGCGGCGATTACAAACCCGATAATCCGAATAGGGGGGAAAGAGAAAGAAAGGAATACTGGAAGATTTTTTATAATAAAATTAAATATATTGGGATTGTTTTTAATAAAAATCACAATAGAATCGGTATATACCTTTCTTGACCAATAAAGAATGAGTCACTATATTCTAAAATACGTTGTTATGCGGCGATTACAAACCCGATAATCCGAATAGGGGGGAAAGAGAAAGAAAGGAATACTGGAAGATTAATCGTGCGAGTCGCCACGTATGTAACGATGGTGATAGAAGCGCATGGTTATCCGTAATTACAGATAAAATTGCTGAAACTGTTGAAACGGAGGCGAGCTGATTAATTGCATGGATTACATGGCGGCTTAAGTGGAGACCCGGCGGCCTCACAGCCGTTCGCAATTTCCTTCGAAGCCGTTTTCATTGAGAACGACTCGCACTCCTACGGAAGCCGCTCCTTCTTCATTAAAAATGAAACGCTCCTCGCTTTCCGTTTTTAAACGCGCCCGCGTGCACGTCGCGAGCGCGCGTCTACAGCCAGCTAGCTCAAATAGTTTGTCAATGATTCAACGTCACCGACTAAATCGAACTGTGCGCAACGACCGAGCCGGAAACGATTTTTCCTCTTCTCGGGGGTTTCGCGCGACACGGAGGTAGGTGCTATGCGAAATAGGGGAAAATCGGAGTAATAGATTCGAGGTCGTTGCTATGGGAGAATTCGAAAATTAATCGGGGCTTCCTGATTAAAGGATTAACCCCCTTTGCACTCGACCATTTTTTGGCTAGAGAAGAGTAGAAAAGAGTAGAAAATGAAAGATTCTCTACTAAAAAGCTGACGATACTATTTTGATCAGTAAATAAAGAATTGTATAATAATGAAATTTATTTGATTTCGATACCTCGCACACTGTTACATTACATTAAATTTGATATATTAATTAATATCGATCTTCCAAATTTTATGAAATGGTGACACTGAAGCTCACCTCTCGAGTGCAAAGGGTTAAAAGATTAAATTTCCTTTTCGAATAAATTCCTCGCAAGGATTGAGTACTCGAGGAAAGGAGAACTGATAAATTCGATGTCGTTGCTATGGGAAAATTCGTAAATTAATTTGAGATCTTTCCCTGTACGTGTACTTTAATTCCATGTTTTTATTCTCAAACAAATAAGTCTCACGAGTTAAGTGGTTCCCGAGAAGTAGAAGAAGATAAAAGGAGGGTGTTATAATTTGAATGTCGTTGCTATGGGAAAATTCGCAAAGTAATTAATTCAAGGTTTTTGCCTCCGTGTATATTTTATTAAACATTTGCATTCCCAGACAAATAGGTCTCACGAGTTAAGTGCAACCCTCCCCCCTCCGCCCCTCTCAAAGAAAAAGAATTCGTAAATTCGACGTTGTTGCCATGGGAAAATTCGCAATTTAATTTAATATATTTGTTTACACGTATATTTCATTAAGCTTCCTCGTACTCGGGTAAATTGATCGAGTTAAGTGCTTCTCGAAAAAGAAAGAAAAAGAAAGGAACTGATCCGATATCGTCGCCATGACAAAATATGCAAATCGATTTGCAACTTCTCTCTCCGTGTACTCGCGTCCAATTAAATCTCCTTATTCACGAACAAATAGGTTTCGAGTAGTTTCGTTCTAAATTTACTTTTACATTCACCTTCCGATACGCTTCAATTTTAGCAACTTTTCTTAGAACTTTGATCTCTCGTGAAAATGTATATCAGATCGAGCAATCTCTAATCGTTTTATCTCCTCGAATCTTTTAAAACCAATGCCGCTAGATTCAAGAAATTTCTACGCATTAAAATAACAATTATTAAATAAATCTGACAACAACATACGCAAAGAAATTCATAGAAATATTTTAGAAAATGCAATTAACTGTTGAAAAACACACTAAACCTTCCTACTATTATAAATATATATATTACAAAAAACATAACATATAAATAATATATATAAATATGAATAATATAAATAATGTATATTATTTTGGAAATTTTCTAACGTCGTACACCTTTTGACGACCAAGAAAATAATTTTACGACGCGCAGGATAGTGTCAAACGTCGTTTATGCAAGTGTAATATACATTCCGCGTCCTAAAGTTTCCAAGCCTAAAGTCCCACTGCTGCAAGGTGGATGGAAAATCTCGTGAAGTCGCTAACTCGAAGACACTCGTCCACGTTTATGGTTAACACACATATCTCGGGTCCCGGATCTCCGTGGCACGACTTGCAAATCTATAATATCAGTTTCGAAAGGAGCTCTCCGTGTCGTAAATTATCGAGAAATAGTTCATCTATATTATATTCCTCCTTTTTTCTTCCGCTATCGATTTCAGTCGCTTTTATTGGTATATTTACGCATGGAAGACTCGCGCGTATACGGACTGTAGCTTTCGGCTAACGGAAACGAAACTTGAGTAATAAAAAATGGAGGATCTGTCCAGGAAAACGATAACGAGATAAAAGAGCGTAACAGATATCGAGGTTTATTTACGAATTTCGAGTGGAATTGATTAGTCTTGCATTGTCGCAATAAACACTGATTAAGGTCGATAAAAATCGATAAAAATCGATAAAAATTGATGATTTCATTCGCGACACGAATAAAAAGCGCGCTACGTCAGTACAGTCGAGAGATCGACGTTCACAAAACGTGACACTACTTCGTCGAGCGGTATAAAAATAACGATCGAGGCGGAAAAAGTGCAGAGACTAGCGAGAGAAACAGTCCCGTGTTAATGAAGAAATTAGAGAACTATTCGCTTAGAAAGGAAGCACGGGATATATAGATATAATTTGTAAAATGTAGAAGGAATCGCTCGAAACCACTTTTTGTTTAAGGTTATGTAAATAGGCTAATGAAAAATAATATTCTAACAGGAAGCAGTGTGTATATTAATATAAACTAACATGCACGGCGACCAACCTTACCTGATATACACGCGTAATTATATAAAGCAAGCAAGGAAAAAGAAAAGAATAAAAAAGAGAATAAAAATTCATACGAACCTGTAAAGATCATTTTCAGTGACAATATCCCGGATGGAATCCTCGGGATCGATACGATCCGCTGGAAAACCAGCCGGTCCGGCGACCCTCGAGGACAACAAGGGACACGTTGGTTTTACCGTGGAGTCAGTGGCCTCATGGAGGGCGCTGGCCGCGATAAGGTCGTCCTCGGAGGCGGTACTAGGCAGAGGCACGTTAGGGCTCGGAGACCGCGAGCCGGAGATCACGCCGAGTAGATCCTCGCTTCTTGAATGTCTCATTTCCATAGCACCGTACCTTCCGGTCGTTGTCGTCATCGTTCTACCGAATCACTGCACACTCGATTTTTCCACGACCCGGTTAGACGGCCGTCCTCTTTTCCTTCGTTCTCGTTGCTACGACCTCGACAGCCCGAAGGAATCGACCACGATCTAGTGTTCGCTACTCCCATCCGGACTAACCTCCTCTTACTACCTCTTATTCGATTCCCTAGAGAACAGCGATCCACCGATTTTCATCTCCGAGGTATATCTTCTTCTCTTTCGCTCCTCTTTTTACGCCGTCGCTCCTTTCCGCTCTT